TTGATTGGATTAGGTAAATTTTCCGTTGTTGTTTTGGATATATCTCTCTTCTCTCCCTACTTAAATGTCTCCCATATTTTATTATGTTGTAGTCGACACCTTAATCTACAAATGTACTACAATTCAATTTCTGATCAGAAGATGGGCACCTGGTCAAAATTTAGATTTAACCCTAAAAAGGCCGGGCTATTTGAGGTCTTAGTACGGCCGGGGAGGGGGGGGGGCATTATGGCCCCCCCTTAAGATCTCGGCCGCAAAGAGGCCGATCGCTGCGAAAATTTGCACGCATGTCAAGTGAAGTGTATAGAATAATATGATAATTCCATTTTTTTTTAGATTCACTCATTTGCATATTTATGGTAATTTATGCAAATAAAGTCATAAAAATCACATTTTTACCCATAAATCATATATTATTCTCATTTAAGCATTCTTCTTCACTACATATATTCATTAGACCATTCTGAATAATAATACGTCAACAAAATTTGGAAGAGCCAGCCTTTTCCTTATGTTATCCCTTGTTTTGATAATTTCTTATGTATTTCATTGTTTTATTAACTTATGTATTTCATTGCTTTTGTTGTTTTGTTTCATTTCTACAATTCAACTATTTTTAGGAAAAATAACTTTTCCATTTGTTTTGTATACAAATCACAAAAGTTAGCGATTTTCGGGCTGACATGCAAAGACAAAAGGTCACGTGACCTTGTAACCGTAGGTCCGATTTTCAAAAAAATTCTTTTAAAAGTTGCGCAAGACTCGAAAGTAAAAAGTCAGCGAGCGGTGGGGCGCCATCCATATGCGATCCCAAGCAATCAGAAAAATCGTGGAGGGGCCTTATTAGGGTTAAGGTGAATTACACTGTAAAATCTGCCATTATGGTTTCTACTTGTAGTGTTATATAAAAGGAGGATGGGATCTTTTTTTCAAAGTCTGAATTTCTCATTTGCTCGGTGTTATTAGGTGATCGGCCGCTTAGTGTAGCAAATCTGATAAAGAGTGCATTTGTTGAAACATTCTCTCTCTCTCTCTCTCTCTTTCTCTTGATATGGCAATCTCACTACCACACAACTTTCTTCTTCTCCTTGCTTTCGCCGACATATAAATATCTGACCACCAGTCCTCTAGTTTGGATTAACGCTCCTTCTACTGTTATCCTTATCACTGACCCACCCAAGTCGGCGTCAAAACATGATACATGTACTTGGCTGGGTCGTAAATCTAAACATGCAGTCTAGCCTTTTGGTCTCATGGTCAGATTCAGTGGTGAATGCCTCTTGATCAGGCCTGATAATTACCTGATTTAAATCGGTTTCCTGATTTTTTAAATTATTTTTCCTGTATTTTTTTCTTCCTGATTTTATCCCAATTTTTCCCTCCATTCTTCCCTATTTTTCCCCAATTTTTTTACTCAAAAAGGGGGAATGTTGTTCGATGTCGTTTTCCCCCCACTAATTTTCTTCTTTAAAAAAAAACTCAAGTGGGGTGTGGTAGAGGGAAACCCCCCCCCCTTTTTTTTAGTGCTCACTATCACCCCTGCTCTTGGTTCTTACTATTCTACATCGATACTAGCAAATTCTCATTTGCACATTTTCTCCTCACAATTCTCGACCGTCAACATTGCTTTTTTTTGCTGCTCTGTACGATCCGACATATTTGTATTTATAATCAGAACTTTAAAGGGAAAGTCCACCCCCAAAATAAGTTTGTTTCGATAGAGGCAGAATAATAAGAAAATCAGGTGAGTGAAAGTTTGAGCAAATTCTGAATAAAAATAAGAAAGTTATGAATTATTGAAGTTGTGATCAATCAAATACAAATTGGCAACTCTGTGACTTATTATACGAGCTCTCCTTCATTTGCTTTGTGCATAATATTCCATAAAATCATGTTTTCTTCGTTATTGATGATGGAATATATATTTGTTCCTTGCAGGGGGAGTATAGAAACATATTTGCAATTATTATATTTAGGGTGCATGTACGGTTGAAATTTTTCTTGAGGGAAAATGATAATTTTAGATTTTTTTTAGTACTGAGCAAATGGAAGTTGAGCTCGCATGATACGTCATAGAGTTGCCAATTTGTGTTTGATTGATCACAACTTCAAAAATCCTAACTTCCTTATTTTTAATCGGAATTTGCTCAAACTTTCACTGACTTGTTTCTCTCATTTTTCTACTCCTATTAAAACTAACTTAATTTCAGGGTGGACTTTCCCTTTAACATTATGAACGACGTGTTATTTTTGTTTTTGTTTGCCTTCTCCTGTCATTAATTTGATGGTAACAGGGTTGTACCAAACAATACTGTAGTCGGCACAATCAATTCTACTATTTCTACATCTTTGATTACTAAATGAGCTTGCACGCGTCCAAAAATGTCCACCCTCCACTCATATAACACACCCAGTGAAAAAACTACACAGAGGCTCGGGGCGAATTAGCCCCCGAAATGCTAAAAAAAAGCCCCCGTAAGTCATAAAAGAGCCCAATTTTTTTTGCAAAGAGTTCAATGCAAAACAAATTAAAAAGTGTTATTTTCATGCAAGCAAGCTTGAAAAGTAGCCCCCAAAATTTTTAAAGGTATTTTTTTCCCTGAGCCTATGTATAGGCATGTTATATAAGTGGAGGGTGGAAACAAATTTAAAGACCAAATCTCCCATTGAGTTTCTACATGTGTTATGTTTCAATTAAAGCGGCAGATCACCTAATTCGTCTCCGTTACGAATTCCATGTCTAGTTTAAAATTCTGTTCGTTCATGACTTTATATCATGTACATTGGATTCCTAAGTGAATTCATATGATTTTGTGATGCCTGCTTGATTATGTTGAGTGAATTATCAACCCTAACCACATAAGATGGTGAAGGATAACCGCTCCTGATCACCTGATCATCCTGATATCTGATTTGATTATACAGGATGCTGATGGTCAATTTCATGCTAATAGCCCAAGCTTTTTTAGATTAGATCTTGGGATGGAGAAAGATAAAATGATGAAAAATCTTTTGTTTTCCTTTCCATCTGGATAAATAGGTTTTACTTGTCGTGTATGCTTTTACCTGACGTTCATCACTTATTTTCATAAGGTCTTAACCTTGTGAATCGGTCGGTATGTTATCTTCGTTGAGTGTCAGCTTTCACATCAGGGGGTTTTCGTCTTTATTATTTTTAAGTTCTCTACAGGGCTGCACAATATGTCAGTAATATTCTAATATTAGGTATTGAAACAAACTGAATGTTAAATGTAGAGTTTTGCCATTATACAATATATTGCTTTCAAATGATTCAGCGATATGGCAGCTGATCATGCGGTTTTATCTGTAAAGGACTAAGGCCTAAAAAAAAAAATTGGTGACTTGGTGTAACGGGTCACTGAAAATTAGGGTAGGTAGGGCGATTTTGTTGTTGTTGTTGTTGTTGTTGTTGTTGTTGTTGTTGCTTATATTTGCATACATGAAATTAGCAATTCATACACATACATACATACAGTGGCGTAGATAGGTCCTTAGACCTTGGGGATGATCTGATGAGAGGGGTAGACCACAATATGTTCAAATAACTCCACGCACACACACACACACATATATGGACACACACATATATGGACACACACACTGTGTGAGCAAAGTGAGCAAGAAATTGTTGAAATCTTGATCACCTTGGGACCTGGGGGATGCATACATACACCTGCCCCCCCCCCCCCCTGCATACATACATGTACATGTACATACACCCTCATGCACATAAAATGCAAACATATGAACGCATTAATAGGTTTCCAACAGACCCCAGCCTGAGATATCTCAGACACTGTCTTCAACAGGATAAACAGGTGAATATGTAGGTTTTTAGAAGGGGCTGTTCACAAATATTAGTATTTTCACAATGTATTGACTAACATTTTTATAACTTGTCTAGAGGTTAACATGTTAACATGTTAACATGTATCCAAAATCTTGAAGAATGAGGGTTGAAAAGAGTAGCCAATTACAACTTGTGAAAATATTTACAATTGTGAATGGCTCTGTATTTGTCCTTTGCATTTAGGTCATCCACTTTGCCAGAGCTTGTCGTTTTCTTCATGACTTGAAGATCGACTTTGTCTCGTCGTTTTGACGAAGACATCAATACCTCAAAGGCATTGGGCTTCGTGCGATCCTCCTCGGTATCCGTGACACTGACAGGCGTGAGTGTTGCAACCACGTATCGATACCCGAAATCTTGTAATAGTGACACTGTTTCAGACAACAGCAAATCAGAAAACGGACCACAGTTTTCCTTAGATGCCTTGATGTTCTTAACCACAAAATTATCAGCGGCCAGATCTTGAACGATTTCTCCGATTGTTGCTTCAATGTCCACCTTCCGAAGAACGCTGAATAAAACGTGAGCACCAAATTTACCCGTGAACTGAACGCTATAGGACGCCATGTTGGGGATACAATCGCCTAGCGGTACTATGGCGTACCTGCCCGCTGCACTCGGCGCGCGAGCTGGCCCAAACATCCGGGTTTTCCCCACTGCGATATCGATATTTACGCAATCGCAATCGGATAAAAAAAAATAAAAAAGCGTAGGGTCGGCGATAAAAATAGGGTCGGGCGGGTTACGCCAAGTCATCAATTATTTTTTTTAGGCCTAAGAGGTGTTTCTGTGATTTCTGTTTTGCAACTCAAATTATTTGTATTATTATTCGCTGAGAAATACAATTTGATGCAGCCCTAGCCCCTAATTCTTTTCTTTATTTCTTTTCTATTTTTTTAGCACTTGTTTGAGTCTCATCTCACCTCTCTCTTCCCCTCTCTTTTCCCTAATTTGTGGTATATTAAAGCTATACAGACCTTTCAAATACTTCCATTTTTTCATTAACATTTGTGCCCTTAAGTTCTTTTAGTTCTAGTTTGCAGTTTTAAGTAAGGAGTTGTGAGCATATTGCCAGTGTTATGTTAAGGTCAGAATAGTTATTATTTGTGATTATTATCTGTCATTGCAGGTCATGTATTGAACAAACTGCAGGTCATTCAGGGAGCAAATCTGACCTGTGAACATTCTGGTCAAAGGTAAGAGGTCACCCACTAGTTCACTTTCACCCTTCATACTCATTATTTAGTAAAATAGTCAATTAAGGTAAAGACCAGTTTTGGAAACGCCCCCCTCTCAAAAAATGAAATAGAAGCTCTTATTACCAATCGTGTGAAAGAATATGTTTTGACTAGTACGTGATGAAACAAATTTTGCCGGGAAACCGCCTACTAATTGATATATGTGGTAAATTATCATATCTATTTGGACCTGATAAATACCGCGCATGTGTCACACACGCGTTGCGTAGTCCCATATACATCTTTCTGTGTACAGTGCTTGTAACTTTACCAAGACTGGACCAAATTTCTTATCTTTTTGACGGTTCCAGAACCTTGCAGTACACACTCATACTTATATACCAAATGATCAACCCTTTCTGATCGATTCAACAACGTTTCTTTCACAATGCAATCGCATGACCAGAACTCGGGTCTTTAACTTTTAATACCTTGTTTACTGCTAGTAAACCTGTATACATGTACTTAACACCCAGATGAATAATTCATGCTTATGGATGTGGATAGGGGATTGTGTTATTAATCTACCTGTATACTTTCCCTTTTAAAGTCAATTTTCTAAATTTCCTGAGATTTATTAAAGCTTTTTGATATTGTTATTGCATATGAAACTATACTGTTTTTTTTTTTATTAATAATAATAAGAATGGTAAATAAATGGATCTTAAGTACTCAGGGTAGTAACATTACCATTAAAACTGCTCTTCCTTCAGGCCCTGCAATTATTATAACCCCAGCATTTCCAATTTCAGCCATTCTACTGATTTTTTTTTGGTATTTATATGTACTACTATTTATGCTTGTATTCTGAATTCAGATTCTCTGCACCAATCGTAGACTCTAAGATAGCATTTGATGTTTTCCTGCCGGACAAGAAATACAAGAAGACCAACCCTGGTCAGCCTAACTTCTGTGTGGTTGTGTGCAGGTAGGTAACAAAACTATAGCTGCTGTGTCACTAGGGTTCAAAGGTCACAGAGGTGAAAGGTCACTGAAGATTGTAAAGGTTTATTCTACTGTATAGCTTCATTAGCTTGTCAATCAGTGGAAACACCTGGGAGAGGTTTTGACACAAGTCCATGTCACCTTAGAATGCCTGTATGTTCAAGAAATCACATTTCATCTTTACAGGGAGAGAGGGAGGGAGGGAGGGAGGGAGGGAGGGAGGGAGGGAAAGGTGAGGGAGGGACAGAGGGAGGGAGGGACAGAGGGAGGGAGGGAGTGAAGTGAAGAGAGAGAGAGAGAACATAATTGAAGCAATGTTGAACAAATAAGTCTTTAGGTCATATTTGAATGCCTGGATGGTATGTAATTTGTTAATGTCTGATTATAATGATCTTTCTTTATGTCTGTCCATGCAGTGAAGAAGATCCTGTCCCTGAGCTTGCTGCTCAGCTAGACTTGCTGATGAAGGCTGCCCCCGTCCCATTGGTTTGGGGTGTCGTAGACAATGCTGACATCAACTTCTATACCCTCAATGACATCGAGCTCCCTGTCGACATCACCATCGGTTGATAATGACATCGAGCTCCCCATCGACATCACTATAGGTTGAGCATGGAAGGAGAGGATGGGTTACATACTGATTATATGAGAGCTTGGATTTCAGGAATTTTTGGTACTTCATGTTCTAGTTGTGCATATGTTATCTCGGCTGATATGGATGCAAGTGAATTGTTTTTATCGGTTATGCTAGCACTAAGCTTGATTAAAGGCCCACTGTACTACTTGTAGCTACTTGCTCCCTCTATATAGAAAACAATGCCTAATCGGTGAACATTGGTCCCCCATGATCCTCTTTTTCTTATGTTAATTGAGAGCTGAGTTGATGACCTTCCTGGGTGGTCTAATCCCTCCTAGCCAAACTAGTACAGATGGGCTTTAAAGCTCATGTTAAGATTTGCAGATTTAGTGTAAATAACTGAGAGGAATTCTAGACCATGGCTATGTACCTGTACACTTGACTGTGTGAGGACCCTTCCACCCTGACGGGTCCCCACTCTACAATCTCAGCACAGACATAATGTGTGTGTTTGTGTGTGTGTGTGTCACAGACACATGACCCTTGCGTATATGTGATGGTGCACAATGACGTTGTTTCAATTTTTGTGCTGGGTAAAGCATATAGCTGTAAGCATTTGCCTTGATTCCATTCTATTTCTAATTCATCACTTTTAATATGTGTATGGTATAGATTAAATGCACTATTGTGCAAGCACTCATTTTTGGAAGGAATAATATTAATTTTATTAGAGATAATGAGAGATTTGTTTCATACAAGGAAAGAATATATTATATGTATGTGATATTATTGTCTATGTCATGTGTGTGTGTGTATTGTGATAGAAAAAGAAATTATAATGTAAAGTAGTTTATATTGCAATGTCTGTGGCATTAAATGCACACTTCATATTGAAGTGAAACCTGTGTATAAAGACTATTTAAGGGAGACATGGAAAAATTTACAAATAGTAAACAAAGAAAAGAAAAAGTGAAAGGCGTAAATATTCTAAAAAAGAATTAAACGCTGATAATACCAAATAACAACGGTCTTAACAGACAGGTGGTCTTTGTGTACAGGTTCACTACCATTGAAACAAAATAGCTATTTTGTATATCGTGTATGCTTGTTTCTTAGTCAGGCTTCATTCAGATGTAACATGGTAAACTGCCTTCAAGAACCGCTGACCCAAACACGGTGTTGAAATGAATGGCAAGAGGTCCTGTAGAATTAAAGAGAAGGCTGAGTTCTGGGAAGAGGGGGAAAATAATTTGTGAGTAATTATTATCATTATTATTATTGTGAGCGGTATCATTATTATTATGCAAGTGTGGAAGAACATCAGATTAAAAATTTTCCCTGAAAAGTATGGCTCTTCAAATGCCTTAATATTCTAAATATGGCATGTAACAGCATAAAAATCGGGACAGATTTTCATGCCACATGTTCGTGTAGTCCCATATACATCTTTCTGTGTACAGTGCTTGTAACCTTACCAAGACTGGGCAAAATTTCTTATCATTTTGATGATTCCCAGGGAACAATTTTCCTCAAATTTTTTGATTAGCAATTTCAGCCGATGGATAAATATTTCAAATGAAATTCTGTACATTTCTATGGAAGAAAACTGCTACACAAAAGATATTTTGTATAGCAGTCATGCAAAAATGCATAGCAAATTGCGATGCGATACCAGGAAAATTATTCCCTGATTCCAATTCCAGAACATTGCAGTACACACCCCAATATTTATAATGCTAGATGATCAACCATTTTTGATCGAATCCACACTGTTTCTTTCACAATGCAATCGCATGACCAGAACTCAACTTTATCTTTAAGGGAGAAAACAGCGAGAATGGCCCCTTTGTTTACCCAAGGATCCAAATTTCTGTATTATAAAGAGTTTGATTCAAATGAATTGCCAGTTTTTATGATTAAGACGGGGCCTTGGACGTTTTAAGATGATTAGCACACTACTCCTATTTCATTAATCTTGCCTTGATGGCGGCTTTGGAAAGCATTTTACCATCTCCATTCTGAACAGGGCTTTATGCTCTGGTGAAAGAAATGTGAAAATAATAGAAATCTGAAGATGACAGTTATTCTACAAAATGACAATATTGAAGAATAGCAACGTAAATAGTCATACTATAGCTTTTTGTTTTGCACTCATTGGAGTGCTATTCTGTGATTTTTTAGTACAAAATGACAATACATGTAGCTGCACATACCTTTGTCACTTTGAAGTCCCAAATTCCATATTATAATAACATTATAATGAATGATAACTTACTGAAAAGATATTGTGTTTATACTTGAGTTGAGTCCATTCTGTCCAGCGTTTTTTAAAACATGTTTTCAGTGTATGAAATTGCATTTGAAAATAGTTATTTTTCTACGAAACATTAATCAAGGCACAAGTGTACATCACATAGAAGTTATTGATATGCTATTTTCATATTTACTATTTTAGTATATACAGCCATGCAAGTGTTACTTCAAAAGACTGTTATTTTTGTTTATCCTAGATGTTGCGGTGCATTCATAGAATATATTTATATATACACTTGTTTCAATCTTTGTACCTCACCTCCACATATCGTCGCCTGGCTGGCAGAAGGGCGTTAGCTCAAATTTCAGGTCAAAAATAAAGTGCTAAGCAGAAGGGCTTTAGCACTACATCGCCTCAAACTTTTATAAAACTGACTTATTTCCGATTTTTTTTTTTGAGGCAGTGTTCTACTGTAACATTTCTATTAGTCTTATAAGTTTTAAACCCATTTCCGGGACGGAAAGCAGTCTAAATATAAAACAAATCTTTAAATGCGAAATAATTTGAAAAGTAGTTTTTGAGTCGCTCGAGTGCTAACGCCCTTCTGCCAGCCGGAGACAATATGTCAAAGGAAGAATCTTCGTGGTTATGTGAACTCTTTCAAACTTTGGGATAATGAACAAATACAATTTAAGTTATTAGTCATTCTTATGTTTTACCTTGGTCACTATGTACAGGCCAAGTGACATTAAACTTCAAATTAAATGATTAATTTATGATTAAAATATGCAGTAAATTAGCATTCACATAATGAAATTTCAAGTGCTATTTTGGGTATGATAATACCTCAGAACGATAGGAAATATTGTGGACAAAAATTTACCTTGAGTTTGAGCTAGAGGTTTCTATTGAATTGCTTTCAAAGAACCCAAAGTAACTGTTATGAATTCTTCATATGAGTTAAGAAAAACTATGTAGCTATTTTAATATCAGTCCTTGATAGAATACTTGTAAAGCTGAAAAAAAGAATGAATTTTAGTTTGATTTCTTCTACATTAAAGTATGCTGTACATTTATCAACCACTTTGTCGAAGCTTATCGATTTACAAAGAATGCGACAATGGACGTCGCTTTTGATTGGTCAGTCATTTAATGGGACTCTAAATAATTCCATGTCATAGAGATTATACATGGGAGGGAGGGAAACTATTTGGAACTTCATGATTTAACCTACAGTATGACCTCACTAGTATACACATGTGTGCTTGCGTCACAACCATCTGTCCCAATATGCCATGTACTGTGTGAGGAAACTCCCTGTTGATGAGGAATTTAAATTCATATTCAGAATTGTGATTTTGCAGAGTGTGTAGGCCGTAGGGTTATCATTCTGTATGTTATGTTGTTGTGTGCATGATTCCTCTTTCCACTAATTTGGAGCTGTGTGCACATACATTACATGTAACTTTCTGAAGTGATTTTATGTATCTACATTAATAGTATAGCATGAATTGAATTAATTTCTGTGCTTATACACAGACTTCTGTATGAACGAGGGTCACAAGGGCATTACACCTATAGGGTGAATCGATCTAGGGCAGGCCCCCGGACCCCGTTTCATCTATAATGGCTCAAAGAATGTGACCCAGAAATAAGGTACTGCAATCTATCCAGCTTTTATTTAAATATTTACTAAAAATATTTGAAAAGAATGTAAATATATTATTTAAACTTGAAAGCGAAATTTACAAAATGATATCTCCAGACCCACTGCATGCAAAAGAGTTGAGACCTTCTGCTTCTTAACGCACTTCTGGTAAAAACTTGAGATTGGTCTTCGGCTATGCACAAGATAGGGTTTGATAATACTCACTGTAAGACACGTTTGTATGCCTCCGCTACAAAGTAGCCAGAGGCATTATGTTTTCTGTTTGTCCGTACGTCTGTACGTCCTGTTCTCATAATCGCGTTATCTCAAGAACCGATTGATGGATTACCGCCAAACTTGGGTCATATATGTATCTTGCAGAGCCAATTAACTGATTAGATTTGGGGGGGTCATGAGGTCAAAGGTCATGGGGCTCATTATATATGAAAAAATAGCTTGTGAACACATTATCAATACTGACCGATGGATTACTATCAAACTCGGGACATGTATGTATCTTGCAGAGCCAAATGAACTGGAAAAAATGTAAAATAGCCTGTAATTACGATATTCTGAGAACCTGTTAATGGATTACAATCAAACTTGAATTTTTATGATTACTTCTGTTTTGGTTTGTTGAATCGCTCTATGGCGGAGGCATAATTTTGACTGCGTGCAGTCAAACATCCATCTAGTTATCTTCTAAAAGGAGATGTTTGTTTGTACATGTATGTCTATTTATTTACAGCAATTGAAATGTATATTCACTGGTATGGCATTGTACAACGTGTGACTTGAAAATGTGATATGTGATTTGAGAATTTGTGACAATAAATGTTCTTCAAACTACATTTGCTGAATTGCCTTCCTTTTGTAGTCCCATATATCTCTTCTCTAGTAAGTGGTATGTAGATGCATAAATTGCTTCCTATAAAAGATATTTCCAGTTATGAGACATACTAAATTAACTTGAGCTTAGAGGGGGGAATCGCGAGATATCTGTAGAAATTTAAAACTTGCAATTTTAAATCTGTAATGACTATTTTCACTTCAATATAGTACAAGAACAATACTTTTCAGAATACCGACCCAGTCTAGAACTCTAAATAGTCCAATGTACAGTTAACTGAATTATTCATACCCCTTGTAAATTAGATTTTTTTTTTTTTTTAATCTTTAAATCAAGAATGAAAGGTGAATTGGTTGAATTAAGGCCTTTGTTGAATACTTTTAATTTGTCACATTCTCAAGAAACAAAATTGGGACATATCACCTCTTTACATACCGGTACTTAAAAACTACAAAACTTGGTGAGGGTATGAATAACTGAATTAACTGTAGTTATATGAAAAACATCTATTACCTTTCTCTTTCATAATTTCCAACCCTTAATTATATAGTTTGACATCCACAAGTTGTCAAATTCCAAAATCTATTATATATGTGAGAGAATGATTTACTTGTATATTTAGCAATGAAACGGATTGGACAAATTTAAAGCTGTACTTTTCTTTTTAAAAGAGAAAATAAGGACAGGGCTGATTAGCAACCCCCCCCCCCCCCCCCCCCCCCCCCGCCCCAATCTATCAAAGGAAGCCCTTATAAGAAGCCATCACTGATAAGACTAATAGGTTGGCAATGGTTTGTAGCTTGTAATGTACGAGGCAAGGGGTTGAATAGAAAGATTCTATTCAACCCCATGACCCGTACATTACAAGCTACACACCATTGCCAACCCAGATAAGGACAAATATTTAAAAAAAAACAAGTTTTAGCCTCCTGTTTTTTTGAAAAATAGGAAGGAGGAATTTTTTTTTTTTAAATTAAAAAAAAAAAAATCAGAAATAGATCCATTTTAGCAGTGTTTTTCATGTTTATTTTCTTTTTCAAAAAAAAAAAAAAAAATCAATTTTTTTTAATTTTTTTTAAAAATAGGGAGGCGGCCCCCCAAAAGGAAGCGGGCCGGGACGCTAAACATGTATATTTTTTTTAAGGCCTAAATGCTTTTTTTCTTTTTATCTTGATTTACAAAATTAGAATACTACTGTAAATATGATATATATATATATATAGAGAGAGAGAGCGAGAGTGGTGAAGTGTGGCATCATCAAAACTCTTTTTTTTTTAATTTCTCAATCTTTTCTTCAGTTTCCGAAAGAGCATCAAAAATCATTTCCAAATGTCGAAAACCAATTGAATATGTCGAGTATTGGCGGAGATATGACCATCTCCATAAATATATGTCCTATAGGAACTCAGTGTTATTTGATCTGGCTCCTAATCATTACGAGCCAGAGCAAATAAAAAAAATGAGAATTTCTAAAACTAGATATTTATGACATCACAACTTCGGTACTCTATACAAAAGTCATCTACTCTGAACAGCTTGTAACTTATAGAAATTGCTGCAAAAAGACATATAAATGTAGTTGTTTTTCACATTTATTTTCAAAAAAGTTGGTATCATAACTACAAAAGAATTACACAAATTGCAATGACGCAAACACAATAAGAAATCAATACAAGAAAAACTGTTCTTTGCGAATCATATGGGGTTGTGAAAAATGTTGACAACTTGACAACATACCAGTAACTGAAGAATAAAAGTCAAATTATTTTCATACATTGGATTCTGAATAAAAAGCTGATTTGTGGCTAAAATATGGCTTTGTGGTGCAATTATGTGTCTTCTATAAATATACAAAATGAGTAATCACATACAGAGGCCTTCTAGTCGTTTTCTACTTTATTTTAATATGATTACTCGGGATTGTAAACAGTTTTCACTGATAATCGTGTTAAATTACATACTAAGAATGATCTAGGAATTTTCCAAGGGAACTATACATTTGCTATTTACAAACAAAAAACATTCAACCATCACTACCCCCCTCACCACATAGAAAGAAAATTTGAACAAAACTAGATGAAATACAAGCAGATGAGATTAAAAATTAATCATATTCAAGCATACAGTGAATACAATTTTATAAGGTGAACCAAATTCATGAATCTAGTCAAGATTTGTTGGAGTGTGTGCTGTTTGAATAATCCAGGTTTCATTAGAAATAACTTGTCTCTTTCATAAATGTGATCTTACACAATGAAACAAATTGGTATATCCAAAATATTTAATAATAGGGTAATAGCAACTCATTTTAATAAGGCTCATTTCATCACTTTCATATTTTTTTTAATCAAAAGCAAAATCATACAAAATGACACTGTATCAGTGTACTGCACTTGGTATTAAAATGCAGCTATGACCTTAATTGTGATGTAAGCAGTACTGACTAATCAATGAAACCATATCAAAAGATTGACATCGATTTTAAATGAATGACTTCCTCAACCCTCCCAAGACTTCATAATCATGATCATACAACAAATTACCCAAGCTGAACAATTTCTAGTATCAAGAACTGTATAAAGGCTAGATAGATCTTTTGGTAAAAGGGTGCATTTTATAAAAGTTTATGTACATTATGTAATAAACAAGTTGTGGAAATTTACACAAATTGTACATGTCTAATAACTGCTGCAGTATCTAATCAATCCTTGGCCAGATTCTGATTTGCAAGAAAAGGGTTTTTCCATCATTTAGGGGGTATTCTAACTAAAAAAGCATGTACATCGCTTATCTTTCATACCTACGGCTTAAGATGGATAAGTGCCAACCAAAAAACTACACTCAATCTAGACCCCAACTGTGTGCTGTGTCTTTTTAAGACATATATGTATGTTGTTATCAGCACTCGTTTCTATGATTACCACACAAAGTCATGTCTATACTGATCATATTTCCAACTCTGGTTCTGAATTTTCCTGCCATCTTCGTAAGTACACATTTGGTTTGGATCAACTTATGTGTATACACCTTTCATATTGATGATAGTCAATTTCAGTGCAGACTCGCTCAGCGATCACAACACTTTGAAAAGTTGATCAAGGATCAAATGCAGCACAGAAAATTCAGATAACTTTCAGACGAAGACAAAGTTAAGAAAGAATCTACACTCAACCCACGTGAGACAAATGTATGAAAATGGCTAAAAAAGACAAAAATATTGACTGATTATCTAAATGTTGATTGAGGAGAGCAGATGGAGAACAAAGCAATGAATGCAGAAACCGGTCAAAGTAGCTGTTAGGTGTGAACAGGTGAAGAATGGCCCACAATCAACCCACGTGGGACGTACATGTATGAAAATGGTAGAACAAGACTAAGATACATTGATGGATTATCTAGAGGAGCTGGAGCTGGATCGGCTGTATCTACGACGTCTGGCTGGTGATTTAGACCTGGACCTGGATCTAGACCTGGATCTAATAGGTGATCTTCTCCTAGGGGGTGGTGACCTGGAGATAGTATGAGTAAAGACAATAACAAAATTACAGCTCTAGATAAACTCAAGAGAAAAGCCAATGGCATTATTGCAAACCTAGAAAAAAATGGATTATCATGACAGGTGCATTTCAAACCATTTGGTAAATTGATAATGCAAATGATAAGAAGCATCCAGAATATTCATGGCAATGCAGTTAATCTCAAATGTACCTCAACCAGATCTTATCTATTCAGATAATAATTAAGCCAAGCTAGAACATATCAAAACCAAGGCTCTTGCCAAGCTTTTTATCTTGGTTGCTAGCCAGACAATTGCTTCAGGTTGCCAAATTCAACTTTCGATGGTCATGTAAAGAATTGTTCTGTGAACTTGAGAAAGAAAAATACATAGATGTGGAAAAATGATGTATAAGTACAATATTAAACTTCAGAAAATCTGAAGCGAATATTGTCATCCACCTACTCCCTACCCCCTACAGTACAATGTCATTCAAACTGAAACAGGTGTAACAAATGATAGCAATCATGTAGTATGACCGAGGTTTGTACTAAATGCTGTCTGTACTAGTTTCGCAAGGAGGGATTAGACCACCCAGGGTGGTCAATGACAGGTGGCTATCTCATCAGCTTAGCTCTCAATTAACATAAAAATAGAGGATCATGGGGGACCAATGGTCATCGATTAGGCATTAATTTCTATATAGAGGAAGCAAGTAGCTACAAGTAGTAGTGTGGCTTTAATTACCTTCTCCTATCCCTGAATCTTGGGGGAGGTGATCGTCTCCATCCTGGTCCTCCTCCTCTCCTTGGTGGACTACGTCTGAGTGGAGGAGGGGGTCTGGGACGAGCTACCGGAGCTAAGACGAATGCAGCAGTGATCTCTTGACCATCAATCTGACCTGCAATCAAACACAATTTAGAGTAATCAATCTCATCTATTTCACATCTCATGGCAACCAATAATGATTCAGTCAGACCGCAGCGTGCGCGATAATGAGGCTATACGCTGATTTTTATTCAGCGTCTCTTTGGTTATCTCGTACATTCACGTGTGCTGAAATTCACGAGATTTTCCGTGAGATTTGTAAGGGTGTACATGGAGCTGCTTTTGTGGTCGATAACTTCTGTCAACATGGCAGCACGCAACGGTAATTACTCTCGAGATTCTCAGCTTCAGTTTGATATGAAACTTGCCATCTTTCACAATTTTGAAACAATCCTTTTTCACCACTTTTATTGTCGTTATTTTTGTAACATTTCAACAGGTATTTTGTACCCTAAATTTCGCTTTTGGTTCCTGACTTTGGTACATAATTAATTTGTTTACTTTGAGATTCGTTGGAAAGATGAAAAGTCACTGATCAAAATAATGTCAAAACCTAATTGACGCAAAATCTTGTTCTCTTTATAATCATAGTAATTAAGACCCTAAAAACCCGGAAATTACCAATTTGTTCTTTCTATAAGATGGCGCGAAATTGTGTGATTTCATACTCGTGCACGCTCGCCGTTTGAGCAATGGCAATGCATAACTGATTATTAAACTCCAGGGAGCTCTGCCGCGCCACCGACTGGCCGAAAAAATTAAGAAAAATGATTAAAAAAGAAATAATGTAGAAAATTTTTATCTGAAAGGCAGGTGACGTAATTGATCCAGGGTCCTCAGATTGTTGTCATGACTGCTTGCGCGCACGTGCATTACAGGCGCACGCCACAAGGAATGCTTATTCAAATATGGTATTCAGAATGTTAATAAACCAAAGCGTAACATATGTGACGTAGTTGACGTTTTTGGCCAATCAGAACGCTCTATTATCACATCGGCAAAGTTGACTACTTTTTTTAAATTATTCATGAACATTCGCGTGATTTTTCTTGGTTCCTGACTTTGGTACAGCGTAAAATATAATAATTTTGATATCATTGTAAAGAAAAATATTTATGCTTTATGCTGATTATAACATCTTCTTGACGCAAGAATGATTTCTATGTGAAAATCAGCCCTACTCTTTAGATAGATTTATCGTCGAAAAACCCCATTTTCAAGGCGAAATATCTGTTTTCAAAATATATTTAACATGATTGTCATATAAGTATATAGAGAGTGCAACTTCTTATTTTTAAAATAAGACCCATTTCATGAGAAATGAACAATTATAAAGGCAAAAACTGCCGATCGGGAAGACCGTCTGCACTACTCATTACGTATGCAAGACACGTAAATTCTTGCATACGTGCTGAATAAAATAGAGGGTTTTCGCACCGGCTGCGGTCTGACTGGATTGGACTATATGTGACCAATGCAAAGGAAAGCAGAGCGATTAAGATCATCAATATGAAGAAAACAGATTTTAAGGTAGTGCATCTCAAACAAATAAAATGATAATTAATTCTGGACAAGTTTTCCAACAAACTTAATCTGTCCAAATGATAAGAGAGTTACTGCAGAGATCAATTTAAAGGTAAAGACCAGTTTTGGAAAAGCCCCCCTCTCAAAATATGAAATGGAAGTTCTTATTACCAATCATGTGAAAGAATGTGTTTTGACTAATACGTGATACAAATTTTGCCGAGAAACCACCTACTAATTGATATATTTGGTAAAATATTTGGACCTGATAGATATCGCGCACGTGTGGCATAGTCCCATATACATCTTTCTGTGTACAGTGCTTGTAACTTTACCAAGACTGGGCCAAATTTCTTATCATTTTGATGATTCCAGAACCTTGCAGTACACACCAATACTTATATGCTAGATGATCAACCTTTTCTGATCGATTCCACAACGTTTCTTTCACAATGCAATCGCATGACCACAACTGGTCTTTATCTTTAAACATTTCAAGTGATTGCTTTTCTTGGGGGGGGGGGGGGAATAATAAACACAAAAACAGATTGTGTCCCTTTTCTTTTTGAGCGTTAACACCATAGAAAGCAAATATTATGGTCAGAAAAGTTATACATCTATTAGTGTTTTGGTATCCAAGATTTTATGCATGAATATCATCTAATCTACTCAATAGTTGTTTTACCCTTCCTTTAAGATTATATTTTAGCTTTTCAAACCTGCAGTATACATTTACATTTATAAGTACTATTTCAAACTGATGTTTTGAAAAAAACTACCAGCACTGAACCCAAAGCAGAGTCATTTGGGGGATAACTGAGCTCCTTCAACAAAGATGACACAAAGAAGAGACCCCATTCTTACCTCCATCCATGTGTTTAAGGGCCTTATCAGCATCATTAGAAGACATGAAATCAACGTAAGCGAAGCCACGGGACATGTGTGGATGGACCCGATCAGGAGGAATGTCAATGCTCTTGACGGCACCATAGATCGAGAAGATCTCCATCAGATGTTCCTTGTTGACATTACGGGTGAGCTTCCCAACGTGAAGCCTGGAGGACTTGGGAGAAGGAGAACGCTTGCGACGAGGGGGTGACCTGGATCTGAGGACAAACAAAGAGAATAAAGGAGGGTCCTTTAGAAAATATGTCTGTCAACCTGTCTTTGTAGCCATCTCTTTATAAAGGTCTTCTGCCTATGATGAAGACCTCTGGGTGTAGGGATGTAGCACCTGTCTAAAAAGCATTCTACAATAACGTCTTTTCTGTCTTTTTTGGGTGGTCTCAGTAGACTGGGTGAACAGCATCCATGAATGAAAGACCTCTAAAACATGTTAAATTGTTTTCCTTCCTTACTGTCCACTTGTTCAAATCATACTGCAACTATCAAGGTGCAAATTTGCAAGTTGTAACTTAAAAAAGATACATACAACAAAATGAATGGTAGGTAATATAAAACGATATTGCACATATATTTTGAGCAACATTAAAATCTGTGAAAGTATAGTTTCTAAACTTTCAACAGAACAAAAGCAAGTCCGAGAAAAAAAGGGTTAGACCCAGAAAGTAATGGAAAGTAGAATTATCGAAATCCTGTAGAAATGTATCCTGAAAAAAGCTAAACAATGTCACAATATCCCTAAATGGTGTTGTCTATGGGTAATAATATACCAGCGCATATCACAATAAATCTCTATGCGCTGTAAGAAAGAGTAAGAATGAAAGGTGGATAGAGTAACATAAGAAGAGTGAGATATGCTCAACATACTTCCTCTCGTTAACATTGGAAAGTATTTTTGAAATGAAATGTTTTAAGACGCGCCTTAAAGTTGTCAACAGTATCACAGTTTTTAAAAGATTTTCTGGTAATTTATTCCAAAGTTCGGCAGATGCAACCTGAAAAGAGCGAGACCCGTAGAATTTATTTGTGGAATGGTGAGGAGAGACTTTGGGGAAGATCTGAGGGTTCTGTTTGGAACATATACATGTAGGATAAGTAATTTATTAAAGACCTTCAATAAAAGCTAATTGATCCCTCTCTATGTTTCTCACCTTGATCTACTTCTCTTAGGTCTGGATTTCTCCTTTGATTCTTTCTCCTTCCTATCATCAGGCTTTTTGGAAGTCTCCTTCTCTGTCGCAGCTCCTGCTTTCCCATCCTTATCTCCGCTTCCTCCCTTTGCCTTGGAAATGCTCCTGCTCCTGCTCCTTCCTTTGCTCTTGCTCCTACTCCTGCTCCTGCTGCTCCCTGATCCACTCCCTGACCCGCTCCCTGACCCGCTGGAGCTACCTGAGCTTGATCTACTGCTGGATCTTGAGGATCTGGATCGCGATCGGGAGCTCCCTGAACTGCTCCCACTGGAGCTGGAACGGCTCCTGGATCTGGAACTAAATAGAAAGAGAAACTATGAAAATATGGCAGAACTGTCAAATATTTTAGAGAAAAATCTGCAAGGCTTTTATAATGTATTTCTAATTTTATTGGTGGAAGTGGGAGGAGTGACCCTCAAACAAAAACAGCAATTATAAAATTTAGGTGTCTGTTAGAAACAAAGTTTTAAATGGATTTATTTCAATAAGAGCTTTGTTGCACATAAGCAATCAATCTTGTTACTGCAGACTGATCATGTATCACATACATGTGATAAGAATTTTAAAAATACATCTCAGTGAATGGTCAGCAAGGTGTGTTGAAGGGCTCTTTTGAACAACATCTGAAGTTGATACCATATATTTTATCGTCCAGAAAGAGTCCTTAAACAAAGCTCTGGCTCTTGAGTGATATCATCAGCATTCTGTAATATTAAAGTGTAATGCGAGATGTATCTGAAAGAAAATGACTTGGACCTCCTACACAAATGAAACCTAAATAAGATAAGTGTCATACCTTCCTGAGCTACTGTCTGAACCAGATGAACTTCTGCTGGTTACCGATTTACTTCTTCTTTTCTTGTCTCTACCTCGGCTTCTTCTCTCAGCCCTCCCTCCACTCCTACTTCTACTCCTTGTCCGACTTCTCGGCCTGCATAAGGGAAGATAAATTTCATTAAATATATATGACAAGATAATCGACATTCATTTCATAGGAAGGTGATGTTCCAGGAGCTTTCTTGGCTTCCAGATTTTTTGTCTAGACCTTTGAATAAAAATAGGCTCTGGAAGTGTTGCTGAATGCTGTATTAATTTAAGCAACACTTCCAATCCTATTTTACAGTATAGTATTAGCCTACTAAACACTTTTTTCATAAAGTCAGCATCAAAATGGCAATGCAAAATCAGCCTAGACCTAATTCAAAAGGTTCGCTGAGGTGGGAATGGATGATTAAATACAAGTGAGACTGAGAGCATGCGATTTAAGTATCATATTTCATTATAAATTACCTAGCCCGTAATTGTAGCTAGCTTCAGTACAAGTTTGCAATTCACCATAGCCGATACCTGGCCTGGCTTGATTGATCATTAAACAAGTATGAAGTAGGCCTAGAGTAAAGTAGCCCGTTTTCGGCCACTTAAGACAAAATCCTATTTTTAGGACTCTTTACTTCCTATTTATTATCATTTCTTGTTCAAATCATGAAGCAAATATTATTATTATTTACACAAAAAAAGAATCCCAGAAAAAAATCACGAATTGCCATGACAATATCCATTTCAATTTTCACTGTTTTGGAGCCCGTTATCGGCCGAGCGTTTCAGTTTACGGCCGCATGTACAAAGTCAATAGGAAGCGCTCGCGCGCGCCGTGCGTTTCCGCGCTGATGTACAGCACAAGCGGGCGGAGCAGGTATCCCACGCCGGAGCTCCCTGGTGCTCGCCTGGCCGAAGACGGGCACAGCGGTGATCGGAAGTTGGAATCTGAATTAGATAGAGATATCGTGTGTGCGTCGCGGTGTGCGGCTGCATTGATTTAATACATGCGATGACATACTTTTGAGCTTGCGACTAGCACAAAATCGGGCTTTAAATCTGAAAAAATACTTGAAATAAAGCTCATTTTATGGTACCCATATTTCTTACAGACACGCGTAAGATACTCGATTTTTCAGATTTGGGTAGCGGGACCGGCGATTACATCGCTAAAATGTGATATTTTAGGATATATTTTCCATTGCAAATGTGGTTCTTCAGTGACACTGGCATGGTATGGTATGTGTGGGATATGTGTTATGCTATTATGCGATGTATTTTAGAGTGATTTTACCTTGTATCCAACCAATCGGCCGAAAACGGGAGCTGGCCGATTACGGGCTCCTTTACTCTAGTCTAGATCTAGATTCTAGTGATGAATGCAAGATTTCCTATTTCAACCTGTTCAAATCCAATTAAATCTAGATCTAGACTGATCTCATATTAATAATATTAATATTATTGAGGCATTATCGTGATCAGAGTCCCCTCTCATTTCTCTACACAGCTAGCTTTATTGCGTCTGCAAGCGGGGGACTTCGATCCACCTCCATAGACGTTGCACGCAAACGTGTGTGTACACTGTGTGAGTGAGAGGGGGACTTTGATGACGATAAGGCCATTATTGACTGCACATGCACCCTATCTAAGTAAAGATTTCAGAGTGAACTGCAAAAGGGAGTATTCAGATAAAGATCAACACAGCCATAGTCTACCAATAATATTGATAATGATCATTCTCATTTCACAAAAGTTGACACAAAACTTGCATCATTCCTCCCTCATAACCATCTATGACTGTGGCATTGATCTTAAGATGTAATCATTTTCTTGCTGGAGTCACTATAGTGCAGATGACTAAACAGTGGCCTGATTATTTTTCAAGAAATGGATCAAAAACAACAATTTAAAATCATCTTTACTTTCTACAGTCCCATTCACTTATATCAACGTTAGTACAGCTACTCTTAATTCGCCGTAGAATAACAAAAAGCGCACATATAATAGATGATTTGTATGCAGTATGTTGATTATTAAGAAAAATGCAACGGATAATATTAAATTAATATATCAAATATAATGTTGGTTTATTGAAGAACACCTAGAACTCTCTGATGTTTAGGAAATAAAGCGATTTTGCTCACATTTTCACCACAGTCGGAGGGACGCTACACTAGCTAGAAACGATAAAACTCGATTAGAGCTGCCCTCTACGGGAAAGACTGGACAGCATCAGGAACTAGGAAGGATAGGAGTAATGTCATGTTTTTAAAAAAATTAAAAATTTTTAAAAAAGGGGGAAAAAAGAAGTAAATAAAGCAGTGGTATTTGAAGACTAAGTCCCACTGGCGTACCTATGGGGGGGGCAGGGGGGCAGAGTGCCCCCCCTGCAAGACGGGCTCCAGGGGAAAAAAAGAAAAAGGGGAAAGAAAAGAAAAGAAAGGAAAGGAAAGGGAAAAAAAAGGGAAAAGGGAAGAAAAAAGGAAAGAAAGAGAAAAAAGGAAAAAAAGGAAAGAAAAAAGGAAGAAGAAGAGAAAAGGAAGAAAAAGGGAAAAGAAAAGGAAAGGAATAAAAATGGGGAAATTTATTTTTAAAAAAAGACCATGGCCGTACGCACCAAGGGGGGGGGGGGGGCAGTTGACCCCAGATATTTTGAAAACGTACAGTTTTTTTCCCTGAAAATGTAGTGTACGCCTTTAATTACCAAATCCTTCAATTCTACTTTTGAAAATGCAAAAGTACCCTCATGACCAGTTCGGTCGCTCGAACTCCCTTCACTCCTTTTGCTTTTGAGATTCTTCAAAAACTTTTAACGCATCTTTCCCCCTCCCCCACCTGAAAAATATTCCGCATACGGCCCTGAAAAATTAAAACATATGAAAATAGGAAAATATAAGTGATATAACAAATTCGAAACTCTTCGCTGGCGCGAACTGCTTGCTAGCCTATTTTGTATTAAATGTTTTCACCTGCTCGTCCCCCTGAAAAAAGAAAAGGATAAGTATTGCCTAGAATAAAATTGTGCCTGCCCCGACGGGCCCCAACCTGCAACCATGGCAACAATAACACACAATATTATGTACCAAATGTTACTAAAAGAGACTAATTCATTTTTCTCGCTCGCTACACTCGCTCGCGAATAAAATGAATAGACATTGCTTTGGAAACAATTGTGCCCACCCTTGACCTGCAACAATATCATTAAAAGTGGGAGAGTTTTTTCGCCCTCTCGCCAAAAAGGAATTGAATCGCGTTAAACGCGATTGCGTCCATCCTGACCTGCACCAATAAAAACAAGTTTATTTATTAATTTTTATTAAAAGAGAATTTATTGTTTTTGCTTGCTCGCTATGCTCGCTCGCCAAAATGGAATTGACACCGCTAACGTTCCCGCCCCAACCTGCAACAACCAGTTAATAATTATGTACCAAACGTTATTCAAAGAAGTTTTGGTGTGCTCGTGCTCGCCAAAACGGAATTAACATCACCTTAGACATGATTGTGTAAGCCCTGCCCTGCAACAAAAAAATCTGAAATTTATGAACCAATTATCATTACAAAAATTTTGCTCGCTCGCTACGCTCGCTCACCAAAATAGAAATAACACTGCTTTTAATAATCACGTCCCTGACATGGAACAATGAACCCAAGTTTATATATACCATATTTTCCCTATAAAAGAGAAGTGATTTTTTTTGCTCGCTCGCTACGCTCGCTCGCCAAAATAGAAATAACACCGCTTTTAATAATCACGTCCCTGACATGGAACAATGAACCCAAGTTTATATATACCATATTTTCCCTATAAAAGAGAAGTGATTTTTTTTGCTCGCTCGCTACGCTCGCTCGCCAAAATAGAAATAACACCGCTTTTAATAATCACGTCCCTGACATGGAACAATGAACCCAAGTTTTATGTACCATATTTTCCCTATAAAAGAGAAGTGATTTTTTTTTTCGCTCGGTACGCTCGCTAGCTCGTGGAATTATGTGCCCACCACTAACCTGCTACAATATCATTAAAAAGAGAAATGTAGGGGGTTGCCTGCCCGCCAAAATGGGATTGACATTGCCTTAAACACGATTGTGCCCGCCCCCTACCTGCAACAATGAAACAAATTTTATATAGCAATTCATTGAGAGAAAGATGTATTTTCGCTCGCTAGCTAAAATGGGTATAAAATCACCCTAAACACAATATTGTTCCCGCGCCCTGCATGGGACAATTGAACCAAGTTTAAGTGGCAATTCTTAAAAAAGAAGTGATTTTTTTTTCTTGCTCGCTACACTCGTTTGCAAAAAAATTAAATTAACGTCGCTAACAAGTGAATGTTCCCACCCCAACTTGCAACAATACCAGTTTATATACCAAACGTTACTGTGCGCTTAGAAACATCAGTATTAAGCGCCTAATAAATGTTATGTATTATTATTATTACTTAAAGATTTTGTTTTGCTCGCTCGCTCGCCAGAAGTGAAAATTAGCATCGCCTTTTTTGTTTGTTTCGGTCGCTTGCCCCCCCCCCCCCTGACGGAGTATCCCAGGTACGCCACTGCTAAGTCCCCTACATTGTACTTTTATGTCAGTCTCAAATTGGCAGATTAGCAGAAATGGTTCTAAAGGGCAGGCACGTAGCCAGAGTTTGATGTTTGGGGGGACACATACATGTAATCAATCGAGGTCAAAAAAAGAGGTCTAAAAAAAGTTCAACCGATCCTGGAATTTTTTTTTGGCCCCTCGCCGTGAGCTAATTTTTTTTCCCAAACAGGTTTGCCAATGCTAATATTTCCGGTCATCTGATTGGCTGATATGTTACGTCATTAGCAATGACGTAACCGTTAGGGCGAGTGATAGGGTTATATTAGAAATCATGCAGAATCACTTTTCATCAATCCATCGTTGGCTTAATCGGTAAGGTCAGCGTAATACAATCATAAAGTTGTGGGTTCAAGTTTTTAATTTATTCCGTTTTTTGCCTTTATTAATAGTGAGGCAAAGCAATAAAAAATCAAAGTCTAATTGTTTGTGACCTCTTTCCAAGCTGCTAATGACGTAGAAAATATCAGCCATTGAGGAAAACGGAATTATAAGAAATTGCAAACCTGTTTGGGAATAAAAATTTCGCCCCCCCCCCCCCCGTGAGCTTGGGGGACTAAAGCATCCCGGAAAACATCCCAGAGCTCCCCCCCTCAAAAAAAAATAATAATCAGAACAAAAATCGAGAAGCACCCCTCCCCCTCCCCCCCAACCTCCACACACTCAAAACCGTCCATGACTGCAGATAAGATCATTCGACTGTAAAAGAAAGTCTCAGATTTTCGTATTTCAATTAATGTCTCTTTTTTCCCTTCTATAGACTGCCGATCGAGTCCCGACACAAAATAGGTGTCAAGATAATTATATAGGCCTATATTAATTATATTGGTAATCGGCCTAGAACCTGTAAAAAATTGCGGCTTTTTAAAAGGAGCCAATAATAAAGGCTCATGTAGAAACATATTTTTCTACCTGTTTGACTATAGATGATGAGCTTGTCTGGTAAGATACGTGACTTCCCTGCTGTATACATATGCCTACCTATATTATTATAGCTGGTTTAGATTTGTTGTGCTTTGATCGTCAAATGTTTAATATTGTATAATCCTACGTACATTATTTTATTGGAAGGGTTAAAGATGTTGGCAACTTTGGGAGAAGTAGTTTAGCACTGATGAGAGCTACAGGTTCATCTTTCCAACCCTGAAACAAAATTCAGATTTGAAACTCCCAAATGACTGAGTGAAGGGGTGAGCATAATAAAGAATGAGAATATACTCCTCCCACCGCTCTGAGGAAATTTTTAAATTCCCCAAGGTGTGTTTTATGATGAAAATTAACCTCAAGTTGATACAATATGGTATATTTTTAATAAATATCCAAGGTTGGATTGTGATATTCAAAACTTAACTATAATCATAAACCCAAGAGCCGATGATGATGAAAGCCCTCTTCTCATCGTGATTTTATTTTATTATTTTCCTTTAGATTTGAAATTCCACATTCCATGTTTTGATTAGGCTATTTAAAACAGGAAGCCTTGAAATTAAAGGGAAATTTCAATTAAACACGTACTATATGATAATTTGAGGAAAAAAAGACCTACAATTTTGCACAATTCCTATCTTATCTGATTGCAACTTTTTTACGGAAGTCAAGTGATTAATAATTGAAGCCTTACAACACCATCGAAGTCACCATCTCTTTGCCTACTCCTATTTAAGGCCTATTTAGTATCCCCCCTCTCCGTTGATGAGAGACATCAAATCATGAATTATTCTGATATCGAGGTGATTCCATCGTAATCTATTTCATATAGTAAACAACAAAAAGTTCTGGAACTCTTTAAAAATGTCACCTCATGCATCATATTTATGCAATGGCGTTATAATGAGAAAAGTTATCGGGCAGCTAAAATTCTAGTGCAACTTTAATTTTCTAAATCCCAGAATCATTTGTTAATGCCAATTAGGCCTACTTATGCAAGGTGAGCAGAAATGACAAGTATTCTGAATACAATATATATTCAGATTTTTTAAATGATGAAAATGTAATTAAATATATATACTCGGAGTGATAGCTTAACATATTATTCAAGATGTGCCACAAAGCTTTTCCAATTAAATCTTACGTCCTTCAACAATGTGTAAATCAATCTGTTGATTTATTAATGGTCTTTTATTCTCCATTTAGGGCCTACACACACATGTTGGGTTGTATACAATGTAGGCCTATATAATTCAACTACATTTTTACCCAAATTAACTTTCAAATGGCAATTGGCATCGCTATGAAATTTTAGCCAATGTTCTTTTGCAATCCTTTCCTTCAGACATTTCCGGGAAAAAAAGAAATATTTCCGTTATCAATTCAATTATGATAAACTCTTTTGGCTCTCATGAAACTTTTTTTGAGATTCATTCCCCCCCCCCCCCCCCCCCCCCCCCCCACTTTCATCTTTACGGTCAGAGCCATCTATTCACAGAGTTTGGCCAACTTGCTTTCACTTGGTCACAACATGGCGTATATTCTTTTGTTTTGTGCTTGCCCGACAAATGACCAACTCGAACCGGGTTGGCCAAACTCTCTGTCCTAATCAATGGCACTGTTTTACGGTCTTCGCGCCACGCCCTCATCGACCATTCAACGTATATATTTTGAGCTGGCTGTGCTGGTCTGGGAATTTCTCGTCTGATATTCCTTAAAAAATCAAGCCAAAATGGGGAGGCGATCGATTAACACCACGAAGAGTGGGAAGTATATGAATCCTACTGATCAAGCAAGTAAGTAAATGCTATATAATTACTTTTGAGAAAGCATGGAGGTATGGATGAGAGCGTGTCATGAAAGACATGATTAATTTTGCATGATTATGGTCCCATACGATATTAAATGTGTAATGTAAATCAGTTTTTTTCTATCCACCTCGTCCTCGGCCGTCTCGCATCTCGACAGTACACTCCAGCAAAGCATAGTTGTCAATGCTAATGCGTATTGACCTCTAATGTGTGAATCAAACAATCATTCTTTTGAACTTTTATACCGGGAGTGACCTGTCTTAACTACCGATCACAATGATAAACACATTTATCTTAAAATGAAGGAAGACCTCAACGCAATGCCTGATTACCATGATTACATCGCATTTGGTTATTGTTGTGATCGGTTGTTAACACAGTTCACTGGACAGTGACACAGGTCAGCAGCAGACTATCTGCGCATGCGAGATAGCCACCCACCCGTCAGATATTGCGCAACTGCTTTAAATGATGTCACTGACACTGGTAGAGTGTCTGCAAAGCTCAAACCAAGCACACCTTTTGATTTTATCGATATCGTGAGCTAGGAGGAGGCACTCTAGCAAAGCATTAATCAATGCTAATGTGTATTGACCTCTAGCACTGTACAAAACAAATGGAAGAAAATAACAATTATTTTTGAAAAACTAAATTTTGAATGCTGCTCCAAATTGCCAATATCTTACTATAAATTAACGTAAATTACGGTAATAATTCAGTTCTGTAATTTCCAGCTGATTCGACGAAGTGATACTGAAGAATGTCATCTTAGGACATGTTGGAGTAATATTGACAAAGAAGAGGTATATTACTAGGTTATATGTTACCATGTGACTTAATACCCAATTTACCACTTTCATAAAAACATACAAAGGCAAAGAATACAATACTTTTTTTCAAACATAGAAAAACCACTAAAATGTAAAATACACTAAAGGAAATTACGAAGTGGTTGGATCATCAAAAAAGTTACAAAAACTTATAAGTAGATGATCCTAAAAAATTGTATGTGGGATTACAACTGTACTTGATCTCGAACAAAGTTTACAGACCTACAGTATATATTATGTTCAATGTTTCATTTGTCATGTATCTGATTTATATCATTCAAATCATTTGAGAACGATCAAGAATGTAGTTGAAAATTGTCCTTTTTACTTTTTACAGGAAAGGAAGCAAGAAAAAGAGAATTAAAAAAGGTAACTATTTAAAACACTAGTACTTCTGGGGGGTGTTTCACAAAGATCCTAAGTTGAACTTATCTCTAGGTTGGACTTAAAATTTATGGGAAGCCATTAGCATCCTTGAAAACATTTTTTTTTTTTTTTTTAGAAGGCATAAAATGTTGATTCAAATCATTCATATTTTCTATTATCATGGGAGATTTCATGTTCTTGATGTGGAATTGATGAAAAGTCTAAAATACTCCAATTTTTTGCTTTTGAATATATTTCATTTTAAGGCTCCAATGGCTGTCCATACTTTTTAAGTCCAACTTAGTGTTAAGTTCTACTTAGGATCTTTGTGAAACACTCCCCAGGTCTTCAGCAAAATTAGCAAATGTAACTTTTTTCTTCCATAATGTCAATGAATTCATGAATGATAGAATACTGTAAAACTAAAAAACATTAGTGGTTTACATTTGTGAGCATTTCATGCTGCAAAATATTGAAGTGAGATTGAATCACAACTTGAAACATTTACATTTAGAGTTTTTTTATTTTTTGTTGACTGCACCGTCACCTGCTGTCACAACACATCACATCCCAGTTTATTTAGGAAAAGCTGCTTCAGACTTTCACAGATTATCTTGTTAAGATTCAAGGTGCAAAGAGGAAAGGGCTGAGTTTTTTTAGTACAAGAGAATGTGAATAAGAGCAGGAAAAACAAACTACATCTAGAAGAAGACGAGAGCTTTAAAGCTTGTATTTTCATTTGTTATTCCTTTTGGAAAACGTAGGATAGCTCACTAGTCATTGTGTCAATAAGAAATCACATGAATGTAAAATCTCCCACTGTTGATAGTAATTGTATAACTAATACAAGAAATATATGAGTTATACAGTCAAACCTGCTTTAGTGAACACCTGTATAGAAATACAACCTGTCTATATATATTGTTAGTCTACCTTGATAATGGTTTCTCATTAAAACTTGTACTAAATGAACCTGTACATATGGACATCCTGCCTATAAATTCAGCTTTTCTTGTCTCCCTTGAGTGGTCCTTATATTCAAGTTCACTTTTTAAAAATTATCTTTATCCATATACCAAGAACAATATGCTGTGATTTATTTTCTTGTTATTATTTTCTTAGAACAAGAAGCAGCGTATGGCAGTGAGAGCTGCTGTACTAAAGAACAAAGATCCCTTGGGTTTACTGCAGGACTTAGAAGCCTTGGATGAACTAGGTAAGATAGATGAATGCCTTGGTGCCCAATTTCTGCTCTACTGAGTAAATTGTAGCAAGTTATTGGATGAAACAAGAGGAATTAGATAAATGATACAGTGACAGTTTGAAACATTCTGATAAATAATTAAAAAAAGTTATCAATGTTCGAAGTGATCCTACTCAGTTTTATGATTTTGGAAGTGATATATTTCAGTTGCGGCTTATATTTACTTATTTCAACTTTCAAAATCTCTAATAATTACATAAGTTCTATGTGTTACATGTTTTTTCTCAAGCTGTAATTGGTATTTGTCTGTTTCTCTCCTCAGTTATCTTCTTGTCTTTTAATAAATATAATTATGCTGATACATGTAGACAGTTACTTGAAGATGCCTACCTATTTAAACCAATGGCTTTGCAAATTTGATTCAAAAGTTCTGGTACTAGTCGAATGACTATTATACAATTAAAAGAGCATCTTTCTATTGAAATGTGCCAGTGAATCATTCTACCATGTGGAAACGTAGTTGAAGAACATCGGAACAATGATAATTAAGCCTTTTTATAACTAAACCACTTTTTAAAAGGCTTTTGTCCATTTTGCCCACCCTCCCTTCCAGAGTTGAATCCTGAGGTGACAACAGATCTGAATGAGAAGGTTATCAGAGATAAGAGAAAGAAGATCAAGGAAACACTTGACAGAGTTCTAAAGCTTTATGTGAGTAATTATTACTTTATATTTACAAAGAATGCTTATTGCATAATTTTAGAACTTATGGTGAAAAAAGTACTAATTTCTATTCTTTCTTATAGTTCACCTTTTCAATATTTGGTCATCCATTTTTGATTTACTTCAAAAGGACTGAAAGATTGTTATTGTTTTATGCTCCATCATCTGCTCATAACCAAAATGGAGTTAACTGCTGACATTTATAGAGCTTTCATGATCATCTGATGGTCATGCAACTATTGATTCCTGAATATTATCACCTTGGATGGGTACCATCTGCTCAGAGCATCTCATTCTCTCATTGAAACCAGCTCCAAGAAGATTATTAGAATATATGTACCTACTTAAATTAAGTATTTACATGTAAATATATGGTCACTTGTCAATATTCTAGGTAAAATAATTGATAAAATTCATTTTTGTAAGATGCATAATGCATGGCTATGAATGAACCATGTCTCTTTGTGTTTCTTGATCATCTGATGTTTTCATTCTGTTATCTACAGAGTCGTGAAGAACCAGAACGTTATGGTGACTTCAAGAAGGCAGAGAAGAAATATGAAAAACAGAGAACCTCAAAGGTCAAAGATTATGGTAAGAAAAATATTAGCAAAGTCATTTCTTTACTATCCGAACGGACCTTTTAAAAACTTGTCATGATGGTACCCCATTTTTATAATTAATTCTGTATGTGCCACATGCTTTCAAATTTCTTATTTGAGATTCCAGTTACTTTGTTTGTGTTTGTGCAAAGTTCTGCAGAACTGTATTACTCCTAGATTCATTATGCTACATTTGAGTACAACAGTGCCATGATTTTTATTGTATTAGCTTTAGAGTAGGACTATGTGAATAATTGCATTAAATTAGAAGGTATCATAGGCGTGTTGGTGTTGTCAGCTTAAGGATAAGATATATTACATTTTTGTGTGACAGAACTTCATAAATGTTTCTCTAATTACAGAGGCTATTAGAGATGCAAGACAGGTCACTGTGGAATCTATCCCACTACCAGATGCACCAAACGGTAAGAGTTAGATGAATCTATAGGTCAACACAGGTATTGTATTGTCTGTACCTGCTATCCCCTCCCTCCTTCCTGTGTCTCTCGCCCCTCCCTTCCTCTCTCTCTCTCTCTCTCTCTCTTTCATTCAGTCTATCTCTGTGCTTTTCTCTGTTCATCTCTCTTTCTTTATCACTCTCTCAGTCTTGCTCTTCCCTTTATTATTTCTTCTTGTCACTTCTATATTTTCCCTACTTTTCTTTTGTCCCCTTGTTTGTCAATTTTCCTACTTGTATCATTAATATATTTTCAGATACTACTTGCAAATCTAAAGCAATAATATCTAATTATATCATAGGATATTTGATTGTCTAATAATGATGATAATGCATCTGCTTTGTTGAAATAATTTTGCTGATATATTATATTTGTATAAAGTTAACTCACTGTCTACCGGAACTGGATGGTTTCTGTATTAAACCTATAGCAAAAAATGTTAATTCAGTAGTTTATGATTATGGACAAGATTGTGATTAATGGTTATAGTATACATTACCATTTATTTCTTTCTCCACCACCTGCAGCCATCTCTGCCATACCCCTCCCTCAGGACATACCCCTCCCAGGGGCACAGCCACTCTCCATCTTGAAGAAGAGCTCCTCATATGGGTAAGAACTTTGTTTCATAATTGATCGTTTATTCAATCTTAATTCTGAGGAGGCACATGTACTACATCAAGATTTAAGTTATATCTTAATGACTATATGATTAGAGGGCAAGTCCTTTCCAAAAATAACGTACTTTTTAAAGCCCCACTGCACTATTTATAGATACTTGCGACCTCTATATAGCAAACAATGCCTAATCTGTGACCATTGGTCCCCCATGGTCCCCTATTTCTTATGTTAATTGAGAGCTGATTTGATGAGATAACCCCCCCCCCCCCCCCTGTCAGTAACCATGCGGGAACGTTTAATCCCTCCTGGCCAAACTAGTGGAGAGGGGCTTTAATGACTATATGATTAAGAATGGATGCCTCACCAAAGCTGCTAAGTAATACTTTACTGTAAACTTTAGATGGTGACTAGATTTTCTGATTTTGGAATGAAAATGTTTCTATGTCTCTCAGTCTCTATTGAATGTATTTAAAATGCTGATTCTATTAGAATAACCAAATTTGTTGATGAGTTAGCACCTATGCCTATGATCTGCTAGGGCACAATTAGGGCTCTGACTTGGTCTTAAACTTAAGTTTATCTTTCTTATCTATTACTCTGTCCACTTTTACTGACAACACCTAGTAAAATCACATGTATAATTCTGTTTCTAGTGCTTTGGTGTGTTTGTTTATGACCACAGTTAAAAGTGTCTGCTATCAGTCATAATTCACACAATATACATAAAACAAAACAAAAATTACTCATAATACAAATTGAAATAACAAGAATAAAAAATGTGTAGATAACTCTTAATACCAATCGCACTTGGTATCTTTAACATCAGAGATTATGAAGGGAGGAAAATGAAAATGAAAATTAGGGAGTCCAATTTTTTTGTAGTTGAGAATCTAACACCATCATTGAATGTTTCCTACAGACCACCGATGATCCCGCCCCCCTTCATGGCAAACCTTCCCCCTTCTCTTCCCACTCTGACCTGGCCGTACTGCCTCCCTAACGGGAAGAAACCCCCAGGACCACCTCCTGGCTTACCTCCAGGGGTGTCTATGCCCCCTCCTGGACCCCCTTCTGGACTACCACCTCATCTCGCTGCTGCTCATCAAATGGAACAGTTACTCAGAGCCGAGAGAGGTCAGTGATAGACTCCTTCTTCTCCTTCTCTTCTTCCTCTTCCTCCTCCTCCTCCTCCTCCTCCTCCTCCTCCTCCTCCTTCTTCTTCTTCTTCTTCTTCTTCTTCTTCTTCTGCCCTTTATCTGGCATCTGTGTTGCAAGTATTCTGATTTTCAGTTGTATTTTCAAGAGATTTCCTTAGTAGGTTTGTTCATGGTGAGAGTATCACCCTGCTTCCAACACATGACCTTATACAAAGTTTTCATTTGTGAAAGTGATTCAATCTTTGTCAATATTCAGGTCATGTTGTATTACATCTTATTGTTTCACACGATGTGTTCTTTTTGATAGTTAGGTATGTATGTACTCACATCATAACACCCTTGTCTCTGAGGATGTAATCATATGTTCTTCTTCTTCTTAAGTATGTCGAGAACAAAAAACCACTGTGAAGCAGCCACTCCCTAGTGGTCTCATCCACTTCCATTGGCCCAGGGATGTCATCTGGTGGTTTAAATAGGGGGCAGGTTGTGATGATGTGTAAGATGTAATGTTGAGTTCTAGCAAGGGTAATGAATTTTTTTTTTAAAATGTTGTTATAATGGGTGTGTAAATCATTGAAACCGTTATTCTAGGGACTTGGATTTGAATTCTGATTGCTATAAATATGGAGGAGGGTTTGTGGCCTTGTTAGATGATATGAACGTTTTCTTAACCCTTAGATGAAGAGCTATCTTCTGATGAAGATGAAGATCAAGACATGGAAGAGGAGGCTAGAGAGCAAGAGAATGAATCCGACGAGATGGAGACAGACGATAGTGACAGCGAGGACGAGAGAGAGCGGGAGAGGAGGAGACCAGAGAGGAGTGATGACAGCGATACAGAGGACAGCATGGCTGATGAACGAGAGAGGGAGGAACGAGAAAGGGAAGAGAAGAGAGAGGAGATGGGTAGAAGGTTACGGCGGGATAGTGGTGATGATGAGGATGATGATGATGATTATCACAGAAGAAGACGGAGGAGGAGAAGGTCTAGCAGCGACGAGGAAGATTCATATCGAGAAAAGGGTAAGTTCATATTTTACATTTTCCTGATATAAAGGGACTAAAGTTAGTTCCCAAATCTTTGCCTTTTGAGTGAGTCTGTTGAAGCCTATCTGCACTACTTGTAGTTACTTGGGCCCTCTATGGAGCCAACAATGCCTAGGCGGTGACCATGGATCTCCCATGGTCCCTTTGTCTTATGTTAATTGAGAGCTGATTTGATGAGATAACCACCTGCCAGTGACCAGCAGGAAGGTCTAATCGCTTGTGGCCAAACTAGTGCAGACATGCTTTAAAAGAAAAATTAGGTCCAATTAATAAGTTTGCTACACATTGCAAGCAAATGATCTGATGTTCACTAATATACTCAATATCAATATTGATTTATACCTTTTGCAAGTTGATTTGAGGCGAGGGGTGGTGGGGGGGGGGGGGGGGGGTTCAGGAAAGGAGCCTGTCCTAGGCAAAGTAGATGAAATGCAGGGGAAGAAGTGCTAGATAGTAAATTGCAAGCAGAGAAGTGGTTGTATGTTATTACATTGTATCAACAAATTACATCATGTTCTGTCGACCAATTTGAAATGTTTGTAAATATTGACCATTATTATATTCTTGTTGAACATTGCAGAGAAGAGGTCTGTCCGCTTTGCCGATGATGGTGAGAATGAAGAGAGTTCTGAGGCTACCTTGACCCGTAAACTACCCCCTGGAATGACACCCCTACAGGCCAGGATGTTGGCCATGGCTGGACAACAAATACCCCGTTCTGCAGAGAAGGCAGATGAGGAGGAGGAGGAGGAAGAACAAGAAGAAAGGAGAGGCCATGATAGAGAAGAAGACGAAGCAGATGATGAAGACGAAGGTGAGAGGAGAGAAGAAGAACCACCGGTGGATGAGCAGTTGGAGGCTCTAAGAAAAGTGGTTGCATCGGTGAAAGCTGCAAGTTCAGCAAGCAGTATGAGTCAGGGTGCAGGACCGGTGGCTCCTCCGACACGCCTTCCTCCCGGTCCACCTCCCACAGCTCCTCCAGGCTTCCCACCAGGGATGCCTCCCAACTTCAACCGCCCCCCTCCTCTTCGCCCACCTCCCCCTCCCCTCAGGATGATTCCTCCAGGCCCACCCGCTGGCCGACCCCCTGCACCACCTCCAGGACCACCACCAGGTGTACCTCCACTCCTCAGAGGTGGACCACCTCCACGCTTAACCCTTCCTCCCGGCATGCTGCCCCCACCACGCCTTCCAATGCCCCTCATGCGACCCGGCATGCCACGCCTGGAGAACCCCAATGTATTCTCAGCCGCGCCCATGATCAGACGTCTCCCGGCCAAGATGGAAGAAGCGGCTGACGTCAAGTCCTCCGCTATCATCGAAGCTAAACCTCAGATCAGGAATCTCACTGCTGATGTGACCCGCTTCATGCCGACGTCGCTCCGTGTCAAGAGAGATGCTAAGGGTAAAACAAAGGGACTGAAAGCAGGCGGGGCGGAAGAGATCGCCATGGCGCCGGCGGCCATGAAGAAACCCAAACCTGCTGTCAAATCAGCCACCAAGGATGATGCGTATGATCAATTCATGAAAGAAATGGGTGAATACATGTAAAGGACTTAATCGTGTTGGATCAAGTGGACATCCAACTGAATGAAGTTCATTGAACATTTTCGAAGCCAAAAACTGGTACTCGCCGCCAGTCGCGTCTGTACATAAACTGACATGTAGATGCATAATAAACATTTCAAAAGTTGAGCATTATACAGTATGGCACAGAAGAACTTCACTATGGATTTTTCTTTAGACCAGGAACATTTGTTAAACATTTATTTTCCAGAGTAGATAATTGCTGTCTATTAAGTATAAATTCTGGAATGGAAATCTAGATTTTGTGTTTGAAGTACATCATGTTAATTATAACTGTTAAGGCTACATTTGTTGCATGTACTGTATAACCGGTAATTTTGCAAGCATGAAACTTTCTTGAACTTAGGATGTTGTCAAGTTATATGCGAAAATTCATGTCGTTAAAGCTAATCTTGAGCTCTGGTATAGGGATCGTATGTCATATGGATTGTTTATCCTGCAGTAGATTGATTGTTTGACTTAGTAAAATGAAAACAACCTCACAAAAACTTGCTGGAAATCATCTTCAATTAAAACCACATCTCTCAATTGCACATAGTGACCTGTCTTAAGCACATGGTGTCGGGCCTACTTACCTTGATTTCCTTATCTTTCTATGCTCATTATGCAGCAGTCGGCCCCTATACATTTTCTACCAAAATCGTTTGGCACATGTCATTTATTCGTAATCTTGAACATTCAGTGCAAGTTTTGTTGGAGTCTGTGAGAATTTATCTTGTATCATTACCAGAACTCAAGCTTATCTTTATTAAAGTGATTGACTCACACATTGAATCCTTTCATTAATAATGATTCAAAGTTCTTTGTTTACATTATATGATGGTTCATTTGCATCTGGTCTGCAGTGATCAGAGCCCTTCTGGACTGTGAATATGTGCTTGCTTGAAGTCATGTACAATTTTGCTACAGCCTCTTCATTTGTAGCTTGTTTTCTTGTAATTCTTTTTTCTATGAGATTTATTTGGAAATGTGTAGCTGAGAACAAAACCCATTATATCCTGCACGGTTATTTTTGTCTCAATTGTTTCATCAAAAAAATTAGTCAGATTTTTGTGAAAAAAAACTTAACATATGTGAGTATTCATTAAAGGAACCTGTAATCAGCATCATGTTTCATTAATAACTTTGAAAATTCTACAGAAAAATGATATGCTCCTGGCATGAATATGTTTTAACAAATTATACACAAGACCTTGTTTGATTTCATATGATAGTGCATAGCAAATTCAGCGTTGCTGTAGATTATTCATATGTAACATAAAAATACATAAACATGACTAAAGTCAAGACTTAATACAAGAACTTGCAGTGGAAACGGCAAAGTTTTGAAAAGGTGAAGGTCTAAATGATGTTAAATTAGGAATGAGATAATTTCTTATTGCCATATCAAAATGTCCAATATGATTTTTAAATGATCTATTTGAAAAAATATTAATGCAAATGGGTGTTATGGATTGCGTTGAACAAAACATAAAGGTAGATGCATTGTTAAACTAGTCTGAAGATGTGAAGTAAATACTTCCCATTCGTGTTGGTATTACTTCTTACAAGTGGAACAACATCAAATAACAAAAATATGTACACCTGCTAAAGGGGGTTCATCAAGGAATGGGTTTTGTCAATCAGAATTAGCCAGACATACGGTTTATTCACAAATGTGTAGGATAATAATTTCTAGCTCATTACTTTTTGTCGCATTGTGATTAACAATATTTTCTTGTACTAGTACAGTCAAACCTGCTTTATTGACCACCTGTCTACAAAGGCCACATTTGTTGTTTCTCTTCAAAATGGTTTCTCATTGAATCATGTGCTACAGGAATCTGTCTACAAAGATCACCTGTCTACAAAGACCACCTTTTGTGTTTCCCTTGGGTGGTCGCTATAGACAGGTTTGACTGTAATCCATTTGTGAATGATTGAGTGCAACTAAAACCCTTTTTTTTTGAGGGGGGGGGGGGGGGGGGGGGATGATGGTCACTTTTACATACCTGTACCGGGGTATAAATAGTTAAAAGAGAGTCTGTGTTGTACATGTACTACGATATCTTCAAATGTAAAATATCAGATTTGTTTGTAAATGAAAATTTAAATGTAAAAACTACGACACTTTGCTTGTGAATTATTTATTAGCATTAGTTACAAATACATGTAGATATGAGAGAGAAAGAGAAAGAGGAGAGGAGAGGAGAAGGAAGAGGAAGAGGAAGAGGAAGAGGAAGAGGAAGAAAAAGAAGAAGGAGAAAAAAAAGGAGAAGGAGAGAGGGAAAGAAAGAGAGAGAAGAAGAAGAGAGAGATGGCTCAAAGAGAGAGTGCAAGGAGAGTGAGTGCAATCTTGTACTTTTTTCTTTTCACATATGTGTTTATAGGTTTTCTGCTATGTGCTATTATTTCATGCATGTAAAAACTAGTGATTCAAAAGCGTTATGTTATGTACTAATACTAGGGACATAAAAAAGTGGAAGAGGGAAACGAGTAGCTCCAGATTAAAGTTTTTATTGTCCATATATAATAACAGAAATTCAATTCCTGTTGGTGTTACATACATACAATTTGAACAAAGGCAACATATGATATATACATTAAACAACTAAAGTATTCATACCCTTACCAAGTTTCGTAAATTTTTAAGTATGTGAAAATTTGATTTGTCCCGTTTTATGTTTCTTTAGAATGTGTCGTATCAAATCTCACTTCTAAAAGTATTAAACCAGTCCACCTTTCATTCTTTACAAAAAAACACAAAAGACATCAAATCTATAGCGGGGTATGTATAATTTAGTTGTTAACTCACTTAACTGTATGCTGAGAGCCAGAAGGGTGTCAAATTAACGCTGAAAAAAGGATGAGTAAACATCTTTCCAGGTCTTGACAGATGGTACATAATAATAATAATTTTGTTCTGAATCACATCATGAGCGCATATTAATAGTAAACTGAAATGGCTAACAATGAAATGTACAGCCCTTGTCAAGCAATCCTTCATTGTAACGTTTGAATTTTAAATTACAAAGTTCTTATCTTTATTTTCTAAAATGACAAACACTCCTAACCAAGGTTCTATGTTACTAGATAGTTTTACAAGAAATTGGTTTCACATCACATTCATAAGACAGGGATTTAAATGTGCATTATCTTTCAATAAACCCTATTTTTTATAGAACAGATAGAACTAGATGGAATTCGACTGCGCGCAGTCGAAAATGATGCCTCCGTTATAGAGCAATTTTACAAACCAAAACAGAAAAAAAAAAATTGAATTCACGTTCAATGGTAATCCATTGACAGGTTCTCAGAATATTGTGATTACAAGCAATTTCTCATATACATATGTGACCCTTTGATCTTTGACCTCATGACCATAAAATCTACTCAGTTCATTGGCTCTGCAAGATGTTCTGAGTTAAATAGTAATCCATCTGTCAGTTCTAATGAGAATGCGTTCACAAGCTATTTTTGCATACATAATGGGCCCATGACCTTTGACCTTTGACCTTATGAACCAAGAATCTACTCAGTTCATTGGCTCTGCAAGTAACAAACATGACCTAATTTTGGCATGAATCTGTAGCGACAAATGTTACAGTGCATTCATTTATAATTCACTGGTATACATATTGTGTTTTTAATCCAAAATGGCCGCTTTAGAAGTCATTGAGAGTTCGAGGATTTGGTATTACGCCATGTCCTCAGAACTGGTTTTAACTCGATTTATTATATAACGATGTTTATTCATTAGTATTTTGATCACATGACCAATTAACATAGAGGTACGCGTATTTATTCATAAGTATTTAGATCACGTGCCTTATTAACATACATGTGCGCTTGTTTTGAACCAATCGCGCTGTAGTTGATTGGCGCTCTTCTGATTTTCCTGTGCGGGAATCAGTGAGCTGTTTTAATATTGGTATACACACATGCTGTTATTGTGTTGATATTTGTACCTAGCAAATTGTATCCAACGAGGATTGATCTGCTACGTCCCCGGACCATTCCCGGTGGACGTGCTCACCTATTTACATCTTGTACGTTTTGCAAGATATATTTTGACTCTCTCGATGTTCAGCATTGACGACACTTTAATTCACCAGCAGTGAGAATAGAACATTTAATATGATCTAACGTTTTTATCACCTGCATTATTGTTTGACAACCTTTTATCATCGACTTCATATGATATATATTGTCTCGACATTTGATTCTTCGACCTGCATCGCAAGTCACTGAAGTTGATCTATTGACATTGACTGCATCATCATTGTATTCATCTGTTTATACTGATTCATCATCGTCTTCATCACCGTTGTCTTCATCATCGTCGACTTTATCATCGCTGTCTTCACCAGCGTCGTCTTCATCGTCGACTTCATCATCGCTGTCTTCACCAGCGTCGTCTTCATCATTGTTGTCATCACCGTTGTCTTCAACATCGTCTTCATCATCGTGGTATTCACCTAGCGTCGATCATCGTCTGCATATCCTACGCGATCGACAACCAGCTCGTCGACCACTGTTTTCGACTAGCTAGTTTCTACATCTACCTAGAACTTGAAGAAGATCTACTTTGAATTCAACTCCAATGACTCACGTAACGTTAATTATATTGTGATTGATGCTTTGCATTGTTTATCATTGTGATGCCTTATTTTGACTGACTGAGTGCCTGTTGTTGAGTGCGTACGCTTACTAACACATATTTTACATGTTTATAATTGCACTAGTTCTAGGCCTATACCTGGTCTACTGATCTAGATCTGCTATAGTCTAGATCCACCGATATATTGTTGTATTCTCGTGTTGTGCATTCCGTACACATACACATGTAGAGATTTGTTTAGTGGTTTCTTGACCCACAATATGTCGTGCCTATGTAAGTAAATCTAAACGCTGTCTAGCTTAGATTTGAGTAGTATTTTCTTGACTGTTATTATTCATGCAGTGTGAATGATATTTAACTGACTTGTTTTAGTACTGTCTTAAGTTGTACTGAACAGGACTCCTGATATTTCGAGACTTGTATTAAGCGGTAATCATTAATACCATAGTGACTAAGTTGAGTCTTTACATTAATGTGCTGTTGGAAGTTATCTATGTTTGATTATTAATAGTAACTACCAAGGGCCTAGTGATAGTTTAATTGTCTGTCACTGTTGAGATAGACAGAAGAGGTTTCTGATAATTCTGTAATCATTGTTTCTTATGTGAAATTATAGAATATAGAACCAGTTTTTAACCATAAGCAATTTGTCTGGATGTGATCATTTATTAAGTGTTTTCTTGTCTGGAGGGATACTGCTTTTTAGTAGTTTAATTAAAAAAGGGAATTATGTGGGATTACTAGTTAACACGCAACATAGTCCATACCCCATGTAGTTTTCTAAAAATCCATCAATCGGTTCTTGAGATAACGCGATCACAAGCTGTTTTTGCATTCATAATGTGCGCTGTGGCCTTTGACCTTTGACCTACGTGCTCCAAAATCTAATCAGATTGTCTTCCTATGGTGATACACACTATCATTAAGTTTGAAGTTTAAATCTCCAGTGGTTCTTGAGATATTATGATAACAATCTCAATGTATGGAATTTCATAAGTTGACCTCTGTGACCCTTGACCTTTGACCTACGTGCTCCAAAATCTAATCAGATCGTCTTCCTATGGTGATACATACTATCCTTAAGTTTGAAGTTTTTACATCTCCAGTGGTTCTTGAGATATCATGATAACAATCTCAATGTATGGAATTTCATAAGTTGACCTCTATGACCCTT